AAAAGCTATACACACGTAGTATTTAAATTAGAAAATTAGAGTTTAACCTGTAATGTATTTTGAAACACAGCTAACACATAAGAAACCAGCTGTGCTTATTCTAAGTCTAGAACCTCCTGAATTAAACAGGGTGTGCTATAAAAAGAATCTAATCATGCAGAGACAGGTTGTTTTTTCTTTCTCTTTTTCTTTTTCTTTAACCTTATTCAGTAATATTTAATTTCCAACAAATACAGATTGCCAGCTGTTAACATCCTCTTACTGCAAAATGAGGATAAGAACTTTAATGCCAGTAGTTTTGTGTTTATGACTGTGGCTCATCAATCACACACTGGTTATGGTTGAATATTTGTGAGCATTTCTCTTCGACTCAAAATTTATTTCAGATATGACAAACTGTTTAATTCTTCCTCTAAAACATCATAAGTTGTTATCTTGAGAAACTACTTAAAAATGTTCTAGAATCTCCATAAGCAACTGAATAAAACTGGAATTGGGACAGCACACACACACACACACACACACACAAATTGTATAATTCTTCAAAGTTGTCATCTTATTTCAGTCTGGTCAAATCTAAACCAAGAAATGGTAGGACAGAAGCAGGGAGCTTTTGTCTTAAGTGAATTATTGGAATTCTGGTGTGTTTTATGCAACTTAGATAAATAAAAAGAGAATGCCCTCTACCATTAATTAATTTGAGACAACAGTTTAAATCCAGAACTGATGAGGAATAAAAAGGGAATATATAGTCATCTTAAACTTAATGAAAGTTGTTTTGAGTTATTAGGCTGTAAATTTCTAAACCAGAAATTTGTTATATTTTCTGTGACATTTCCTAATGAATATTGTTAATTACAGTCTCATATTTCATTAGACTTTATCATTCTAATTAGAATAAAAATTGAACCAATTGTAAACAAGTGCCCACTTCTCTGATTGTACCTTAAGAAAAGAAAAGGGAGACTTCTGGTAAGATGGAGGAATAGGCAGACAAACAACACAGAGCCTCTTCAACAAAGAAAAGAAAAACCAATTGACAGAGATCCAGAAGATGATCCTGGAGCCCTGAGCTTTGAAAGGAACTATACAGAAGTGGATTAAGCACCAACTAGTGGAAAAACCTGAACAAAAACAGTGAGTACAGAGATGGTCAGAGCTGTGGACTGTCAGCTACTCTGACAGGACCAAAAGCCTGAATATTTCCAAGTGGTGTTGGGACCTGAGAATTGACCTAAAGATCAGCCCTGGTCATCAAGGGCTGCAGGGATGACTGCGCTGGTGGCCTATGACTAGGAAGGGAAACAGCAAGGAGGGAGACAACCTGATCTGTTGACTTTCCACTGTCTGGAGGGTGCAGCCATTTTGGATTTTAAAGTGATAGCATTCTCATTTGGATTCCAGGAACCTAAGAATAGGCTCTGTTTGCCAAGGTCGGCAGGGACATACCAGTGGTTGGAAAGGAGACAGGTGGTGAGTGTATAAGTACTGTCAACTAGTGAACAGAGGAGCACAGTACCTTGCTTGCATAGATAACATAAAAAAAAAGAAAAGAAAAGAAAAGAAAACAAAAATCATGGGTAAGTCTCTCCAACATGCAATCATCAATTAAATATAAACACAAAAACACCAAATTGCCTCAGAGACAACAGAGCATCACAGTCCACACAGAGAAGCAAGATAAAACAGGAGAAACAAGGGACCATGATATAGACCCAAAACACATCCCTGAGGAAGATGCAGTATTGTAACTCCTTGATAAGGAATTCAAAAGACTTATATTTAGGTATCTTCAATGAATTGAGAGATAGATCAAGAAAAACACAGTGTAAACCCTAGAACAATTTTGAAAGATAATACAAGAACAAAATGACAAAGTAAATGAAAAATTAGAAATGATACAAAACCCACACATAAAAATCCAGAAAATTAATACTAAATTTTCAGAAATAGATAATACATTGAATGGGCAAAGGACTAGAATTGAATCATTGGAAGACAGAATTAGGGAGATTGAAGGCAGATACCTGAACATTTCTTTGGAAAGGGATAAATCAGGAAAAATATCAAAACAAAATGAAGAAAGCTTAAGGTTCATGTGGGATACCTTCAAAAGGAATAACCTACATGTAATCAGAATTCCAGAACAAGAATAGAAAAATAAAACCACAGAGAAAATTGTCAAAGATTTGTTGGAAGAGAATTCTCCTGGTATGATAAAAGATGAGAATATATCCATTCAGGAAGTCCAATGAACCCCAAAAATGATAGACCCCAAAAGAAAATCACCCAGACATATCATCATCAAACTTATCAAAATGAAAGACAAAGAAAGAATCATGAGAGCAGCACAGGAAAAATGAAAAGTTACCTAAAAGGGGGCAACCAGTAAGACTAAACTCAGATTTCTCACAAAAACCATGCAGGCAAGAAGACAATGGGATGGTATATATAAAACACTGAAAGAGAAAAATTACCATTATTGTAATATTTAAACATTTCCATAACCAAGAATTAAGTATACAGCAAAATTGTCCCTCAAAAATGATGGTGAAATTAGGACATTTCCAGATAAGCAGAAATTAAGGGAATTTGTTAAAACCAGACCAACCTACCAGAGATACAGGGGGCCCTTTGGATAGAGAAGCAAGAAAAGCCAACAACAACTGACCATTAACACACGTAATATAACCCAGAAACCAACCCAGCTATGGATGTATCCAGAGTAAAGAAGCCCACAAGATTGTAAACAGGGAACCAGAGATATCAATTGACAAATGAGGACAACTACAAACCCAAAAGAGGGGAAAAAAACTGTGTCAGTACAGAACTTCTAGATGGTAGAGAAGTCAAGACAACTATAAGATAGAATAGAGTGTTCTAAACTTGGGAAGAAAACTATATATCACAGGGTAACCTCAAAGAAAAATGATAAACCTTCACATTGAAAAAAGAGGACCAGCATAAATATTTAGCAAATACTAAAACAATAACAATGAAGGAAGTGATAACATGAGTCATAAACAAAATGAGTTCAGCATAGAAAATTATTTGGAACAAAGAAATTGACAGCACGAAAAAGCACATAACAAAAATGAAAGCAACAAATCATATTTGCCGATAATTACATATCTGGCAAGGGACTTATCTCTAAGATTTATAGTGGAAGAGTGGATGACCAAACTATGGTAAGTATACATAATGGAATGCTATGTAGCACTAAAGAATAACATGTTGTTTTGTTGTTGTTATGTGTCGTCGAGTCGGCCCTGACTTATAACGACCCCTCCTTGGGTTTCCAAGGCAGTATCACTACGGAAGTAGGATTGCCCAACCTTCCTTCCGAGGAGTGGCTGGTGGGTTTGAACTGCCAGCCTTCTGGTTAGCAGTCAAGTGCTTTAGCCACTATGCTACCAGAGCTCCTAATAATAATAGTGCACAGTAATTTACAGACCTTAAGTTTATCTCCTTTGGAATGTTTTCACTTTGTCTAAAGAACCATTATATGTAAGAAGACTTTTCCACATTGAATGTGGGCAGAATTTTTCTCATTTTGAGTACTCTAATAGTAAGAGCTGTGACTGAAGACTTTTTCACATTTATTAAATTTCCATTATGAGTTTATTTACGTCAAATAAGGTCAGACCATTGACTAAAGGCTTTGGCACATATATCACATCCATATGGATTCTGTCCAGTGTTATTTGCTTAGAGAGAAGTAGTAACAATGATTAGACCCTTCCACGTTGATTACACAATAGTGTTCTTCAATGTGTGATTCTGTTCCTTCAATGTGTGAGACTCCTCTGGGTGCTTAAATGTTGCAACCAAGACAGAAATCTCTTTCACAATTATTACATGTTGTCTCAAGACAAAACAATAAATGAAGGCTTTCCCATACACATGGCATACATATGGATTCTCTCCAACGTGGTTTCTCATGATTTCTAAGGTCATAACATTGTCTACAGACTTTCCACATAGCTGACAAACATAGTTTCTTTCAAATGTGAGTTCTCATGCAGTTTCATGTTAGAACTCCTCGTAAAAGCTTTACCACATGCATGGCATTCGTATGGTTTTTCTCCAGTGTGAATTCTCTCACGAAGTCTCAGGTTAGAACTTCTACTGAAGGTTTTACCACATACATTACACGGAAATGGTTTCTCTCCAATGTGAGTTTTCTCATGATCTCTAAGTTCAGAACACTGAATCAAGGCTTTCCCACAGAGCTGACATCCATATTGTTTCTCTCTAGTGTGAGTTCTATTGTGTTGTGTAAGGCAAGACTTTTGAATAAAGACTTTGCCACATATATGGCATTCATATGCTTTCTACCCAGTGTGTGTTTTCTCATGACTTCTAAGTTCGTAACTCTGACTAAAGGCTTTCCCACATAGTTGACAAACATATGGCTTCTCCCCAGTGTGAATTCTCTCATGTTTTCTAAGATTAGATCTTGTACTGAAGGTTTTTCCACATATATAACAATCATATGGTTTCTATCCAGTGTGAGTTCTATTGTGTTGTGTAAGGCAAGACCTCTGAATAAAGGCTTTCCCACATACATTGCATTCATATGGTTTTTTTCCAGTGTGATTTTCTCATGACTTCTAAGTTCGTAACACTGACTAAAGGCTTTTCCACACAGTTGACAAGCATATGGTTTCTCTCCAGTGTGGATTCTTTCATGTTTTTTAAGGTTAGATCTTGTACTGAAGGTTTTCCCACACATGTGGCAATCATATGGTTTCTCTCCTGTGTGAGTTCTAATATGCTGTATTAGGTCAGAGCTTTGTATAAAGGCTTTCCCACACAGATGACATTCATATGGTTTACTTCTAGTGTGAATTTGCTTATGTGGATTAAAGAATGACTGGTTCTTACCGGATTTTCCAAATTCTTTGCTGACATCTTGTTTCTTTCCCGTGTGAGTTAATTCAGGTTGAGTCGATGTGACACTGTCAGTAAAATCTTCCACATCATTACATTCCAAGGGGTTCTCTTCACTGAGAGCTTTCTGCATTACCACAGAGTGGACGTGTCCTTTTTGCAGGATATCATTTCTTGATTTCTAAATCCACTTTCTCTGATTGAAATAACTGGACTCTCACCTTGGAGAAATCTTACTCCTTTCCACAGTTCTTCTCCTTGCTCCAGTTGGGAAATCACATCTGATTTACAAAGATGATTCCCCACAAAGACCAGGGAATCGATGTTCTCAATCATCACATCTCTGAACAGGTTTCTCTGAGGTGTGTCCAGCAGGGACCACTCTTTTTGGCTAAAGACCACAGCTACATCTTTGAAGGTCACTGACTCCTCCTGGGAGCATCGCTGCGAATAACATAGAGTCTGCAAAACACCACATAACGTGGATGAACTTGGAGGATATTATGCTGAGTGAAATAAGTCAATCACAGTAGGACAAATATAGTATTACTTCATTGTTGTGGAGGGTCAAGGAAAGGTTTATATATAGAGGGAAACTTTCTTTGTTGGTTGCCAAGGGTGGAAGGGGACAGGAGGGAAACTGAAAAAAAAAAAAAAAAAGAAAGCATTGACCCATGTCACGTTAGCTTTGTGTATTTCACTGTACATAAATTATATTTCAATAAAATGCATTAAAAAAAAAGAAAGGAAAAGGCAATGTAAGTAATAAAAGTGGAAGCACATCAGAAGCAGGTACTTCTGACATGTCATTTAATCTTGGGAGAGATGGAACAACAGAGAAGTGAGTATACTCTGACAAAAGACTAGAAGGTGATCAGGGGTGATGCTAGAGCAGTAGTCATCTTGCTTTTTCTTATAATTCTTGGCAACCTTACTAATTCACTATCAGAGAGGAAACAGTTAAAGCAACAGGCAAGTCATCTATTTTTCTCCCAATTACAGAGTGGACATAGGTCTAATCTCCTTTTAAGTATGCTGATAATTGGACCTCATGGAAAGTAAATTAATGATATTATCTAGAAGGAGAGTCCTTATCTATAGAATACACTTAGCAGGATATGTGTGGTATGAGGTTGCTTGTGGCAAACAAACCTGGGATCTATGGATTTATAGATCATAATTCCCTGGAAAATGCCATGCAAGCTAGGAGGCCACCTGTGGTATAAAATGGTAATATTTCAATCCAAACTTTCTACTATTTGATGATCCAAGTCTTTGACTCATGCATCTTGCTCAGAGACCACTTCTTTGGATCTGAAGAACTATGATATCCAGGGCTTCTGGTGTCTCTGTGGTTAAAACATTTGACTGCTAAAAAAAGGGCAGTGGTTCCAACCCACTGGACACTGCACAGACGAAAGGTGAGGCAGTCTGCTTCCTAAAGATTTTCAGCATTGGACACCCTCTGTGGCAGCTCTACTTTTCCCTATAAGGTCACTATGAATCAGAATTGGTTCAATGGCAGTGGTGTAGGTTTTTTCGTGTTTGTTTTTCATCTAAGTAAGTATGAGTATATACCAGAATCGGAAATATGACAGTAGATATCAGTCAGTATTCATTCAGAACTATTAGATATTAGTAACGCTTGATTTTGGGTAATATTCCTGTGGGCTTGATTTGACAATCTGATCATTTCCTTTTAGCTCACCTGTGATGCATCAGTTAAGGTTAGCAACAAGTCAAATTTCTGAGAGATTTAGAAGACAAAGGTGAAGCTGTGCCTAACCTTTTTGGAAGGTTGATGTAGACCATGTATGCCTTTGCGGATCCACTGGCTGTTTTATTGGTTTGGGCAACAGCTGGGCTGTAGTGTCTAGCTCCTTTGGGATTTTTCCTTGAGTTTTTTTTTTATCCTTGGCCAGATGCTAATGGGATAATGGAGTGCAAATTGGGATTCTCTGTTAGTCGTGTCACAGGCCAAGATTTTTTTATTAATATCAAATCTGGCACCAGCCAAATTCTTCTAGAGGGAGAATGTCATGACATCAGAAGTGGGAATATGGCAGATATGAGAAATTGGCACTGCATTTTTTGAATGCTAATCCCAATAAATAATCCTTTCATTTTATTCTTTATTATGCTGAGTACAATTTATAATGGGTTAAGCTTATATAGGTGGCTTATAAGGATTAACACTGACTATCTTTAATTTAAGAAGTTCTGGCGGCATAGTGCCTAAGGCATTTGACTGCTAACCAGAAGGGTGGGAGTTCAAACTTATCAGCCACTCTGTGCAAGTACGATTGGGTAATCTACTTCTGTAAAGATTTACAGCCTCGGAAACCCAAAGGGGTCACTATGAGTCAGAATCAACTCAATGGCACTGAGTTTTTTGTTTGTTTGTTTTTAGTTTAATTTAGTTACCAAAAAAAAAAAAAAAAAAAACCTCTGCCATCGAGTCAATTCAACTCATAGTGACCCCTCCTTGGGTTTCTGAGGCAGTATCACTACGGAAGTAGATTACCTGACCTTTCTGAGGAGTGGCTGGTGGATTTGAACCAACAGCCTTCTGGTTAGCAATCAAATGCCTTAGGCACTATGCAGGTAAAGGTAATTTTGGAACAGTTGGCATTGTTACATATTTTGGAATCCATCTCATTTTCTGTCTCCTGCAAACAGAAGATATATAATATGTATTTGATATACAATACATATTTGATACAGGTTAGTGGTCAGCAAAGGCCCTCTGGTGGCTCAGCAGCACCTAAAGCATTTCACTGCTAACCAGAAGGTTGGCAGTTCAAACCCACCAGCCTCTCCATGGAAGGAACACTGCACAATCTACTTCTGTAAAGATTTACTGCCTCATAATACCCAAAGAGGTTGCTATTAGTCAGAATTGAGTCTATGGCAGTGAGTTTGAGTTTTTTGATATTTGAATGATCAGCAAGACAAGTTCCTCTTCTATCTTCTCTGAATGCCTTGAGCCATTACCTGTCCTTAGCTTTACTTGGTGTTAGAGGTCACTACTGAATTCTTAGCTGCATTAACTATCTTTCCATGTTCTTGATGAAGGACCACAAAACTTCAGTAAATAATTTATCTTTATAAGAAATCTTTATCACAATAGTGGTAAAATATAACAAGGTAGCTTAAGATAATAAGTCCATCTTTCCAATATATAAGAATTGGAACTATAACATTATATATCAGTCAATATTCATTTAGAACTACTGGGAATAGTGTAAAATAAGAGTTATAGAGAGATTCTGTTTCACCCCACCGGACCAGCAGCCAGAATGGCTCCAAGGGGCACAGGTCATATTACAAAAACAGAGGCAGTAAAACCATGTTGATCACACAAGGCCTTATTAGGTAACTGACATGCAGAGGTCAATGCCAAGATTCTCACCACAGACAGCAAATCATCAAGTGCCACCCAGGTAGTAATCCACATATGGCATTGCAGGGTCAGGGTTTATATATTTAATGCTTGTCTAATCTCTAATGGATGGGGTTGTTTTTGTACTAGTTAATGGGTTCCAATTGAAATTATCATGGAGTCAGTTGTTGGGTGTTCTTTTTCCTGAGCCAGGTCTTTGCTCGTAAGGAACTCTGGTTCTGTCCCAGAGTCCATTGTGGGTGGGATTCATTTTGTATTGTTCAAGGCCCTCTCAAGATACAATCTTAGATGATTGTTGTTGTTATTGTTATTATGTGCTGTTAAGTCGGACCCAACTCATAGCGACCCCTCCTTGGGTTTCCAAGGCAGTATCACTATGGAAGTAGATTGCCCCATCTTCCTTCTGAGGAGTGGTTGGTGGGTTTGAACCGCCAGCCTTCTAGTTAGCAGTCAAGTGCCTTAGGCACTATGCTACCAGATCTCCCTACATGATTGTAGAAAGTGGTACAACAGTATTAGTTAAGCTATTTCTTCTTTGTGTGGTGCTGAGTGTGAAGTCACAAAACAGACATAAGAAAGGAAAGTGAGGGAAAGGTGGATAATTGAGGCCCCAAATAACAAGCAAAACCTGTATCTGTTTCTCAGTGGATGGTTTCTTCCTGATAGTCTGTTCTAGTATGCTTACCCCACTTGTACCTTGCCCAGGGCATGGAGAAATTCAAGGAAGAAATCGCAAAGAACCTGTCAGTGGGAGCCCAATTATTGCCTAAATCAACAAGGTAAACTAATGAGTCAGCAAGGACATACATGATCAACTTTGCATGAGGGTTGGTCACTGCTTCATTTCTGCTTTCCAAATCTCTCATAATTTTGTCTTGTGGCCAATATTAACCAGAAGCATTCAGGGAAGGTAATTCTGGGAAATACAGTTCAGCTTAGTTAAGTTGGCACATTACAAAGCCCCCATATTAACAAAAGAGGTATCTCAGGAGAAGATGCAGCTGTCTAAATAAACTTGCACCTTAAAAGTCTATTGTCCTAGATGGTGCCCGGCTACCACTGTTTTCCACTTGAAAGGGGATCTATGTAGGAGATCCTTGACAGAGAGGGAGAACAATGTGGAACAAAACTCAAAATCACTGGAGGAAAAAAAAAAAAAGGGGGACCAGGTTTGGTGGTCCGATAGAGCCGGATGGAACCACTGAGACTATGGCCCCTAGCTGCCCTTTGGGTCTGGAATCAAACCCACACCTGTGGTTTCCAGCCAAACCAAAGACAGGCATATGAGTTGAACATTTACCTCAAGTAGATACACTCCTTGGAGAGAACAATCATGGGAGAAAGAAGGGCTGCTTATGCACAGGGAGACAGCTCAGGGGGCAGGAGGGCATGGAGGGATGGACACTGGAAAGAGGTAACTATGGGGAGGAAGTGGGAGGGGAGCTGTTGTGTTGTGGTAAACTGTAGTCAATGTCATGAGACAAAGTGTATATGAACTGCTGTATGGAAAGTGAATTTGCTCTGTAAACCTTCACCCAAATCACAATAAAATCACAATTAAAAAAAAAAAAAAGTCTAGTGTCCTATCTTGATTCAGTTCTCAGAGAATCCAAACCTGTTCTGAGATACAAATCAAGATTCTGGGCTCAAATACCCCTTTAGGACAGTAAACTAACTCACTGCCATGGAGTCAGAACCAATTCATAGAGACCCTTCCTTGGGTTTCTGAGGCAGTATCACTAGGGAAGTAGATTGCCCAACCTTCCTTCCAAGGAGTGGCTAGTGGGTTTGAACCACGAGCCTTCTGGTTAGCAGACAAATGCCTTAGGCACTATGCCACCAGAGCTTCCTTCAGGACAGTTTGTTGTTATGTGACGTCGAGTCAGACCCGACTCACAGCGACCCCTCCTTGGGTTTCTGAGGCAGTATCACTATGGAAGTAGATTGCCCCATCTTCTTCTGAGGAGCGGCTGGTGGGTTTGAACTGCCAGCCTTCTGGTTAGCAGTCAAGTGGCTTAGCCACTATACTACCAGAGCTTTCAGGACAGTAGTAGATCCT